GTGATATTGAAAATTCGTTGATATAGGAATATATCAACGAATAATAATTATAACGTGAAGAAAAAGGTATTGGTACAGAATTATAAAGAAATAGTAAAAGAAAAATAATTTAAAAAATTTAGAAAGTAATAATGCAGGAAATTTAAATAATTCATTGAACTTTTCGACTTTTAAACTCTTTGCAAGATTTTTGATAGCTTTTAGTCAAATTTTTATACGTTCGTCGTCAATATTTTATTTTTCTTTTCTGCAAAAGTGTAATCGTAAATTCCTGTATATGGACGACAATAAAATATGTTACGATAAATGTACGATGATCCTAAAGTATTTATCGTACCTCCTGAGAACGTTTTATGAAACTCACTTAAGGGCATAATAGAAATGTTAGAAGCCAATAAAGGCTAGACTGTTATTTCTGTTATAAAAGATCAACATGATCTGCAAATTATAGTTCTTATCTATAGTGCAGTAGAGTTTATAGGAAAATTATATGAGAAACAGATTTCCAAAGCGTCGAGGAGGATAAATTTTTTAATAGATTGAATGAAATGTGTATTGTATTTCGTGAAACGATATTTAAATAAATAATTGCTAATTAAATGGTCGTTTGAAATAATTAGGTGAATTGATAGTTAATCAATTTTCGATGATACATATTTTAACAAGTAATTAATGTTTGCGTACTATGCACTGCCTGAAGCATACTTCTACAATATACTATAAACACACATTTTCATGCATACAAGCGAATCAGATAGGGGAAGCATTATCTGCAACGAAGTTATCGAAAGTTTTGATTAAACGGCATAGCTTGCGTATGTATGACTACCTTAATACCTTTAACAACTTTGTAATCGTTATAATACCATTATAAGAAGCTAAATTTTAATCGTTTAAAATGAAAAGCTCGAGTAATATTTTAAAAGGCACACGAGAACATGCAACAAAATTTGTTAGAATTGAAAAACAGAATGATAATTCGATCATGATTAAAATTATGTTGCAGGAATATATGATTAGTTAAAGATATTTTTAATTAATATAATCGTAAATGTATAAATTTGTATTATTTTGTAATTGTAGATGATTTAAATGAAAAGATATAAAAAAAGAAATGATTATTTTAACTATAGAATGAATGCAAATTCCTAAAAGAAAAAAAAAATGTTAAATATGATTGAAAGGTTTTAAATATTGGAGCAATTTATTTTAGATATTATTTAAATTAACAATGTTAAAATATAGACTTTTTACTGAAAATTACCGCTTTTGATATTCGCATAATTTACAAGTTTAATTCTTTAATCACATCAGTGTATTGAGAAATTTTATATAATAATATTTACAACATTTCCTAATTATCGATGCAACAAGCAAACGTGAGCGAAAAATATCCAAGAGAGGCTGTTAAAAATACCTAAAAATTATCTCAATGGTCATAGGATACACGGTAACAAAGAATAAAAAGAATGTAGAGCATAAAAACAAATTCCACAATGATTACATTGAAGTGCAGTTGCAATAATGGAGGAACAATGAAGATAAGGTACACAAAAAAGTAAATTGCAGAAGGATTCACTTAATTCTGTAATTGTACACATGGATGCAGTTCTATTGTATAAATTTTACTACTTTTACGAAATGCGATAAAAGAATATTGCATGTAACGTGAATCCATGGATGATGCATGCAAATATTTTTAACTAAAAATTTTTTTTAATTAAAAATTATTTTAAAACATTGTCACATTGGAATTTTTATTTTATTCATTCTATTAGATTGTCCGGAAATAATTTTCAATAATTGGATATTTAATTTCGTATAACTATAAATTTTTATTTTAATTTTCTTTATGCGATTCATAAAATTTTTCATAAAATAGCCAAAAATATGTTTGAAATATAAATCAAGTTTTTGGCAGTATATTTAAAACCTGTTGATAATTTGAATATATTTTCATATTTTGTACTTACGTTAATATATTCCTATTAAATTACAGTAGAATTCCATTTATATGACAAGGGACAAGCTGAATTATAACTATTATAACTTCTTCATATATTAATCAGAATTAACTTAATTTCCTTTGAATGATTTATATTCAATTGACAGAGAAAATTTTATAAAATATTTTCTTTAAGATTATAAAGATATAATCATATAAATGGAATTGGATGCTCAGCAATGATAAATAATATAAAGATATTTTTTAATATGTACTATTCTGCACAATTCTACTGTAATTTATAATACACAAGAATATACTGTCAATTCCAATATAGAAATATGTAAGAAAATTATAAAATTTATCAATCTCAAATTCATAGTAATTTGAATTTTCCTAATAAAATCTCAGAATTTTAGATTTATACAATTATACTACAGAAGAGTCTCATCCTATCCAGTTGTATTAATCTTCATTCCAATCAAAACATATCTCAAACAAACTTCAAACATATCTCAACACTTCAACACATATTTCAAAACAAAACCAAACCATCTTCAAACGTCAATCCTCAAAGAAAACCAATCAATTTCCAGACAATCTGATGAATCATCCACGGATTGCTCGTTACATTAACATCAACCGAGCCACGAAAGAGGAATACCCTTATCCAAGTTCTTCGAATCGAACTGTTCATCCTGCAGCAATTCCAACCCCTTGGCCCTGGTCGCGTGTTGCTGGCCGGCTCCTCTAACCCCGGCATAGACAGGGTACAATGGATAGAGCTGTTGAATCTTGGGATACTGTTGGAAAATGGCTGGCACGTTGTTGATGGCAGGTTTAGCTGGTGGCTCCAAGAGGATCAAACCCCTCTGAAGAGACGAGGCAGTCGCCACGTCCACGATTCTTTGTCTGCTGGCCACTTTGGTGGTTGGAACGGTGGTGGGCGGACTGGTTTGGGTGACAGTGGTCGTGACAGGGCTGGGTGTACTTCTTCCTCGCGGCCTGGACGTGATCAGGCGAACCTCCCCCGCGACGTTAGGCCCTCTCGCCACGGTCAACCCTCTCAACGTTTGCACGGTTGGCTTTGGGGTGGGTTTATTGGCCGATTTGCCATTTTTGTGCTGGCCACGCGCCTTGCTCTTCCTCTGCGACTGTATCTGGGCGTTCACCACGTAAGGTGGACTGAGGCTACCCGGCTTCTCCGATTTGTGTTGGCTCTGCTTGATCTTCGAGCTCGTGAGAGAGTTCTGAGCCTTGGAGAACACTGTCTCGCGTGATTTAACGAATGGTCTTCTCGGTATGTTCATCCCGGCGGGATTGTACAACGCGTATTCCGTGCGATCGGGAAGGGTTGACGTCCCGTAAAATATCAACGCCCATTCGTGAAGCGTGGCGCGACCTGGCGAGTTGGTTGGTCGTCGGGTTCAGGAGGCGGCAAGAAATTTGAGAGTTTCGTTATATAGCTTTGGTTGATTGGTAAATTATTAGTGGTAAAATAGGCAGATATTTATATTTATCAAATATATATGGAAAAATGGGAAATATTTTCTGTGCTAAGTTTTCAAATTAATTTGTATAAACGTAGAGAGAGTAGAAAATCCTAGAAGACATTGAATTAAAATTAAAACCTGATCACATTCATTTCTTTTTTTAACATTCATTACTGAATTATTTTCATTGATAATGAAATACGAACGATTCTAATAAAAATCTAAAAGACAAATAATTTTAGAAGACATTGTTTCTTGTTCTGAAGAAATATATCAAATTTCATATTCTTTAATTCTTCGTTCATGATGAAATTCTTCATAATGTTTTTTCTTCAAAACAAAATCAGGAAATTCAAATAAGCTTCTTTACCTTTTACAGGTTTCAAATACAAATCCCAATTAATTCTAAAGAAGAATCTCAAATAACCTTATATATGACAATCCAAAAACAACCAATAATCTTGATTCTCACGTTAACCAAATACTTCGTAATAGGAGAACATTTTCTAATCTCCTCGAACGACTCGAGTATATCTAAGTCGTGTTGCTATCGAGTTTATCAGTGGCCAGGGATTAGAAAATCATTGACGACCAACAGGTGCAATTCCCGTCGGCCAGCGCAATATTGTTGTTGCGAGGAGGCGGATTTCACGGCAATATACTAGGGAATCACAGCGCAAACACAACGTGTAATGGTTTGAATACCTGGTACTTGGGAATGTACCCTGTATATTACGGCTACATAATAGCGCGGGGTTCTATCCGCGGACCATGGAGAGAGACCCCCTGTTGGATTACAAGCCCGCGTTAATTCAAACTTTATGCGCATATCGGCTTTAACGGCCGTTCTAGCTTGAAATGGTTTTGACGGTTCCACCCTTGCACAAGGTCAACATCCCTTGAGAGGTTCATGGATTCCTGCCGGATGAGATCGCGACGGAACACGCTTCGAACAGGGGAATTATGCCCCTGGGAGGGGCGATGCACCAGCTTACCATCCTCCCACGTGCACGGTTTACGAGAGAATTCCCTTTATGCCCTCGAAGATCGGATGATAAGATAGCAGCTTGCTATGGTTACGCCGGCCGTTTAGAATCTATGGGACTGATCGTGAACTGTGTCAATCTGGATCATGATTTTATGAAAAATTTTGCGTTGTATATGAAATAATTGATTTTCGCGTAGAAAAATATTTGAAGGGTAAATTTTGATTTAAATTTTTTGAGATGAAAAAGATGAAATGATAATATTAAATTAATATTCGAAACGTTAATAGAGGTTTGCAAGTTTTTATATCATTATAATTTGTTTGTAATGTTAAATATTAATTTAAAACTAATACTTTTGAAAAGTTTTCAGATGAATTTGAATATTGAATATTTCTTGAATCAAAGTTTAATTAATATTGTAATATCGTTTTCAAAGTGAAGTTCATGAAAGTATAAATATTGAAAATTTTATTAATTTAAAAATTAATAATAACTTGTCAACGTTAAAAGTCTCTTAGGTCGTTTCATTTGCAAGAAATTAATAATTTGAGATGAAAAAGGGTGAGAAGATTCTACTGATTTTTTTAATACATATTTATATCAAGGAATAAAATCAATAAAATAAGAGTGTAATAACTTCTCAACGACCAATTCGTGACCAAAGGATGCGCCATATTGAGAGTGTTTATCCATGTTGATAAACTTTCATACACTTGAAAACTTTCGATATCTACTCGGCAACTTCATCGTGCTATGTCATTTTAATGGTGATGAAGATGATGTACAAACACCTGTACCTTGAATATATCTAATGCAAAAGACGTTGTTGAAAATTTACGATTTACAAAGATGCAATTATAATAACGAATTTTTATATAGCTATTAATTTTAATGAACCTGTAAAAACATTTGCACAAAGTGATTATACTTTTTTTAACGAGTGAATTTTATCTGAAAAGAATTCAATATTCTCTTTTATTATAAAACTGGAAAATTTAAAACATACAGAAAATGTAAAATATTTATGAGAATATGGAATATTTACTTAGTCTATATTTATAATATTTAAAATACATATATTTTTATTGAAAATATTAATTTTTTAAAGATATTTATTAATTTTAGAAATAGTTATTTCTAAAATTTAAATGATATCATATACAGTTGTAATAATATTCATATGAATCAAGATTATAAATTGTAATAATATATAATTTGTGAAATAGAATGTAAAGTCAGAGCTGAGAAAAATTCGAAATAAGTTAAAACAAATACTAGATTAAAATTAAAAAATTTCCATAATTAAATATTATACTACATAATCTCCATTCGAATTTGATGTAAATAAAATATTTATTTTCTGATTAATTTAAACGCAGTAAATATCGAAGATTATATTCCATTTATTTTTAAACACTGAAAATATATTGAATTTTTTTTATATACGATAATATAATATTTTGTTAAAGTTAAATATTGCTTATTTAAAGTATTATTACAACTGTTAATGAAATATTTATTTCACGTAATTTTTAAACAACAAAGGAAATTTTGTAAAATTTAGTATCATTCGAAAAAATTTATTTCTGAAAATATTTATCTCCAATTATCTATTTCAAATATCAATTTTTCCCCAGCTCTACATAAAGCCTTAGAAAATTTCTGATACGAACGAGATTGTACTCGATATATCTGGAAATGTCGTAGGCGATGAAAGAATGGAACAAAAAGATGGATACAATGGACTTACCTTGGTATCGACCCTCATTGTGGATTTCAAGTTTCCACGTGCCGTGTGGTCTTTCTCCCCAAGTGTGAACCGACATAAATGGCCATTGATTGAAACCAGCCTTCGAGACGTCGTGTGACCTTTTTGCAAGAAGGGTACTCTTTGTACCTTGTGGAGATGTTAGTTGTATCTGAAGATCACCTCTTCTCGATGCCATCAATGAAACCTTTGCCTGGTGAAAAGTGTAATATACATAATATATTAATAATTAGAAAAATAATATACTCATTTAATTCGTATAATCTTCAAGAAACATGGATAAATATCCAAACTTTGCAATGTTTCAATATTGCAAAAATATTTTGACTCTAATTTTTATAATTTTCAGGAAATTTATTAATCATAATGTAAAAATAATTAAATATCATGATATTTAAACGTGAACAATATTTTGATTCTTAGAGAATAATTTATTAATTTTTATAATAATTCACTGTTAATGTTAAAAATAATTCAACAGCGGCATTTAGAAAAATTTAAGAGCAAATCCTTTATATACGTGATTGAAACCTATTTCAGACGAAAACTATTATTTAACCTACTGCTTAAAGTGAGTGACATAGTACTTACTTGCACGTGCTCGAGAAAATTAACGCCGCTACACTCCTTGACGTGCAATTCCAGAGTTAGCTGGCTTTTTGGTGGTATTGGCCTGCACGCACATACGAAATTTAGGTCAGTTCCAGAAATAAGAAATTCCGTGATTTTATTATTATTACCAATTTCTCTATTTCTATTTTTACGACGTGGTATAGTTGATAAGTGTACAATATGTTATTTTCATCGTCTATAAAATCTCTCTATTTGGAAGGGTGAACGATCTTTGGAATAGACGGTATTAAATCAGGGTTTGCACGCGTTGCAAAAGCTATTTCCTGGAATCAGTTTATCGTCATCAGAGCAACGCAAAGCAGACTGTACGTGGCGGAAATAGTGATGGATCGAATTGCATCGTCACGTCTTACATAGTCATTTATATCACAAAAGGCACTGGATCCTAAATTTGATATTTTTTCGATGACTTAACTTTCTATAAATCACATTTCCATAATAATGAAGGCACGTATGAATTTAATCGAAAAATACATCTTTCTTTTCTTTTGTCAAATTTTATTATATTAGGAATGTTTATTTTAAATTATGTTAAAATAAGAAGTTGCATGATCAACTTTAAATCTTTTTTTCTTTTATTTGATTTTTGTTTATTGGTTTCATAATTATTACAATAATTTATTGACTAACCTGCCCATATGTGGTGCTGACACCTCGCATTTGTGTTGCTCTGGTACTGTTCGCCATCTTTTGGCCAACCGCACCATGGCAGCTGCATCCATTAAGCCATAACCAAAACTGTGGCTCACTAAGTAAAAAGTAGAAATTTAAAAAAAAAAAATTATATCAAAACGCATTTTTGTTAATGAATATTATTTTAAAAATTTAATTTTTATCCATAAAACAATATTTATATTACACTTTTAATTGCAATTCTAATACACTTTCTCCAAACTATTGTTTCCAATATTTTGTAAATTCAATGACTTAAATAATTCTCATTTCATACAAAAATTACTTTCTGCAATGACTCCAATATTTTTACATACTTTCTAAATCTTCATTTTCTATTATTTCACAAAAAAATTCAATTTCCAAAATTTTGAACGATAATGTAAATGCCATAAGCAAATTCAACGTTGTACAGATACAACAATGATAAATACACGTATAAGTAATAATATGTAAAAGAAATTTCATCCAACTCACCATTTCGTCCAACACCATTGGTCACCCAATCCATAGCTTTCAGATTGGCAGGTTTCGCTGTCCTCACGACGATGTGTTGCATGTCCCTCCAAGTCAAGTCTCTGTTGGCCTCGAGGGCGAGGGCGCATATACCGGCGGCCAAGGGTGCCGATGCAGAGGTGCCCGTGTGGCTGGTCGTGCAAAGATGATGCAGGTCGGTGGTTACCACTTGTTTCTCCCCAGATGAACCGGAACTGTAGGTCGTCGCCAGGGTGGACGAGCACGCTTCGCTATACCAAGGCACCTGGCCGTTCTCCGTCGCGCTGCTGATGGACAACGTCCAGATGCTGTTCGTATAACCGTCGCAGTTGCAATTGTCGTGATCCCTGCCGCCGTTTCCCGACGCCCAGACGAAAATCGACCCTCTACCGTTGCGACCCTGACGATCAAAGCGACGAGTTTAACGAGGCTCCGTGAAATTTCGAAGACTTCTCTTTCGTTATAGAGATCTTGTCGATGAAGTTTGTGTCTTAAGTTTTTAGATTTATTCGATATTATTTTTAAGGAAGAAATTTTTAATTAATCAGTTTTTCTCGTTTTTTATTTTTCTTCTTTATGTGTGTTAAATGAAAAATAATTAGAATGGTAGAATGAATGGATATGAGAAGTACAAGAGACAACAAAAATTTGTAAAATTGGTTGAGAGGTTATTTTTAGAAAAAATATACAGTTTTGGATTAAAATGTACGTATCTATTGTGAAACAATGATATTCGTGTTTATTAACGTTGAAATATCTGTATGAGGTCAAATTCTGATGCATCCTCTTCTAGTTAAATATCAAGTTTGTACCACTTCCGATACCACTACAGTTCCGATGATCAAAGGACCATCCTCGGAATTATTGGATTATGGCGGTGTGTTAAACGCAATTCTGAGATGTTAAATGCAGTTATAGTTTTGCATATATGTATATGCACATATACATATGTATGTGCCTACACGATTTCCTTTAATGTAGTATTAGGACACAGTTACATGAATCTATAATAATACACATTTATAAAATGAAATGCCAACAATTATTTTACATCAAATTATTAAATTAATAAATTTAACTTTTATGTTAATGAATCTGATTTTTGTTTGGTAAAAGTGAAGTTAAAAATTTATTATTTTCATTTCAAAAGATTTTCATGTTCAGTTAGACTATAGTTATATATTTCTTATTAATTTATTATTCCAAAATTAGAAAATTATTAAAATTGAACAATATCGAAAACTATTGACATATGGGTTAATAAAAAAAAAATAATTTTTTTTATATGAAATGAAATAATTAATTAATATTCGATATTATCATTTAAAACAAATTTAGAAATTATTACTGTTATTGAAATAAAAATATCAATTTACTGAAATATTTCAGTAAATAAATTCCTTTTTTCTACAAGTACAAATATATATGAAATTTATTGTAGATTCACTTTTTCAAGAAGTTGAAAATTTATTCCACTGTGACAATTGCGAAATATTCCTTGAAAATTTGGAAGCATTTCAGATATACAAAGCTACCAACTCGAAAGCTACCATGAGTAGTAAAACTGTCTTTATGAATATTTAACGGGTAGCTTTCTATTAGGAAGAGTGCTTTAAATTCAGAAGTGACAGTAATTATATCGAAAAGATAAATTCATATTTTATTAGGACATTAGTTGGCAATATTGTTGCATGGCAAGAAAATAAAAAATAAAAAATAATTAAATATTATCGAACGTGGAATTATTTAGATTTGCTTATCTTTGAAGATTTCTTATTAAGAAAAAATGAAAAATATAAAAAAAGAATAGAGATAGAGAGCTCTGTTAAATGAGAGTTTTTTTTTTATACTTACTTATATTTTAATTGCTTTTTTTTTCATTTAATTAGTTTTATATTAATGTTCATTTTTATTGAGATTTTAGATAAAATATTAAATCATTTTAAGAGAAAAAGTATTAAAAATTCATTATTGTTTATCTATTATTTTTCCATTTCATTTAATTTGTTATATTAAAATTTATTTTTATTCGTATTTATATATATATATATTTTTATTTTTATAAATTATCGTAAGACATTCCAATTGTATCATATAATATTTTTTCTTATGAATATTTATTTTTTTTTTTTACAACATTCTCCCATTTTCCCTCCCATTTTATTTAACTCATATTAATATTTATTATTTTTGTTGGAATTTTATATTTTTATTCATATTTATATATTTCATCATTCACATACAAAATAATAAATAATAAATTTACATTCCGTTATTTACATAACAAATTGTCCGATTCAATCGAATACTCTGTTATCAAAATATTTTAAGCAACTATGAAATAAATATTTCAGTAGAACGAAGGGACGGAAGAGAGAAGTATTTTCCTCAATACAGTCGACGATATTCCTGGAGTGTTTAGCTTGCTTTCGTTCTAGGCAGAATTTATTCCTTCATATTTAATAAGGAGCAACTTTTGTGGAATATAAACGTTTACCCTATAAGTCCCATTGAATGTTTTTATTTCTTCTTAAATGAATGATACAATGGAAACAGTTTGCCCGCGTAAATATTCAACGGCAAGTTTTTAAAAGGAATATTTAAAGAATGGTAATATAGTGCAAACAATGAATCCACGGTACAAACGTAACATTAACAAAGAGAAACGATCAATGTTTAATAATATCAAAGAGAGCAAAGCATCTATATATAGATGTTTTCCACATATTATGATATACTATCTCAAATATCAAAAAAAAAAATTTATTTCTTTATTAAATAAAATTAAAAATAATTAATATTTATCAATAGATTTATTAATACTTAATAAATAATATCGATTAATACTTAATAAATAATAAATAATATCGAGGGTTAATAATTAATAAAAAAAGTGAATAAAACAAAATACAATGGAACCTGAAAAACAGACGAATATCGAAATAAAAAAAAATAATATCAATAATATATGAATGAAATTCTTAAATAAACCGTTATTTAAGATATATAATGAAAACTTTAAATTTTCCAGATAAAGTGAAGCCAAAATTCGTCAGATAGATTCTTGAGAGCTTGCCAAAATCAATGATCAGTTTTAAACATAGAACAATTGGAATATACATCATGGTTGCCCTTAATACCGCCATTGCGGACAGGATGTTTAATTAATCGCTTTCTTGCGCCTTCTAGTGGCGTCGTGGCTAATTATTCGCGCGTTTCCTTTGGAAATTCGACTCTACCTTCTGACTTTCCGCTTCTAACGACATCCTTGTGCCTTTCCAGCAAAAGTGCCTTCCGATATTTGCATATGACTTACGACTACCCTCGAAGCGAGCAAGGTTGAAATGGTAATGCGTGCAGGTGCGGAGTTGGCGACAAGTCGCTTAAAAGCATCCAATTAGAAACTTTCTCTGGGCTGGCCTCGTCGACTTATTAAGTCTGGTCCAGGGAAAGAAGTTCCTCCAGTTTCGTGGTTTAATCGAATTACCAGTTTCGGCAATCGATCGTTTCGAAGAAATCGTTTTTTAATCGGTATAGAATAATCAGCAATATAAATGCGAAATTTTATAATTTTTTTCGAAAATATAGACTATCTCTCAAAAATGACTTTATCTCAAAATTAATTTTCAAATAATACAATTTTAAAACAGATCTGATGTAAAGAAAATTTCTAATTTATAAAATTTCATTAATAATTATTCTGATAATTCGAATCGTATAAATTAACAAATACTTTCTTCTTTCCTTTCGATATTCAATTATTTTCGAAAAATTAAATTTTCATTTTCATTGAAATTCATTTATCATAACCATCTCGCACAATTCTCTCCTCCAAACTTATTCTTTATTTTAAAGATCTATGAGTCAGTCGGATGCAAAGTTGAATGAAATTTCTCCTCTAAAGAGCAAGATAAAAAGGATCGGATGTTTTCCCTGACAAACGTAATCGAAGAGAGTTGCTTTCGACCGACTATCTAAGCATGTAACATCGAGATAACAACCGAGGTATCTGCCTTCCCGCTGTCGTCCCGCGGAAACATTCGAGAAATGCTTGGGGGGAAATACATCTCTCTGGAAATTTCATTCCGGGGGGAACGAGGCCTTCCAATCTTATCGATCGCGCCAGACTTTTTCTCCTTTATTTGGATAACGAATTATTTGTTTTTCATGCGGGTCTAATAGAGAAGAAGGGATCCAATTTTTGCATGAAAAGAAACTTTATTCCCTACAAAATAGATTGTCCCATTGTTATATATGGATGTTTATAGATTTCTTTTTACGCGATCCTTTTATTTTTTGTCGATTGCTTCCAGTATCACAGCACTGGATTTCTAATAATAATAAGATTCGATTGGTTGACGAGAATTTCTCACAATTCTTAATTTTTGAGATTATATATATTTATGAGATATTTTTGAGATTGATATATATATATATTTCAAAATTAATTGCAATTTTTGTCAAAATTTTAAAAATTACAGTCTTTCAGAGACGAAACGTCCAGTATGATTTTGATATTCTTTAATTTTTACCTTATTTTTATGCTTTACTATTTTTATAACATTCGTTTATATTGCGAATTTTGATCTATAGTATTTTGTTCATTCTAGACATAAAAATTATATAATTTATTCAATTTCGTTAATTCTCAATTCGAATCTAAATGGATTGAAAAATTATTTAATTTAGTATCATAGGAAGAATCATTTTTGTTTTTTTCTGCTCTTTAATTAATTTAAAACTCCACGTTTCAATACATTTAATTTACCTGTAAAGAGAAAAAGATATTTACTAACCTTTGTGATTCCCTCAATGAAAGCTCTAGTGGCAAGTTCGCCAGGACCATCGACGGTTTTTCCATCGTCGTCTGGTCCCCAGGAGGCACTATAAATATCGATGTGTTGAGGATTTAGACTCAGAGACCTTGCTTCGACGGCATCCGTTACGTCTCCGTCCAACATTCTCACTCCTTTGCACAGATAAATATTTCCCCTTTATTATTTACTTTCTATCGAATATTTTTTTTAATCAAAAAATATGTAATAAACATTTTATATTTCTAAAAACTATAATAATACGATCGAATATCGTTGACAAAAATTAATTAAATTTTTAATTTTTTAATTAAATTAATTTAAAATTAAAATTAAATTCGAATTGGAAAGATAAAAGATGAAATTAAATCGAATAAAATAATTCGGGATAAAAGTAAATTTATATTTTCAATTTGAAAGTATCGTAGAGATTTTCATAGAAGATCAGAACAAGCAAAAGTTTTATAAAGATTTTTCAATTATTTAGATCAGATTTCGTTTCTTTTGTATGTTCTTGTATGTTTCTCTTTTAGAAAATTTGCGTTCTAAATTCTGTTTCTCTTGTACAATGAATAATGCAATTCGTGTGTGTGTACATAAATATGTATGCACTTGTCAGATAAACATTAGTTTTTAAGTTAGAATAGACTGATAGATACAGTTTTGACATAATGTTCACGAAAAGAGCAATTGAATCTTATTTTCTATCAATTTAATACTTTTTCTCAAGATTTATTGCATTTCATTAAAATATATATTCAACGATTTTCTGTTAAAATTAATTTCTACGTGAAAATTAGCTTGATAAGAGACAAATATTTATTTACACTTCGGTTAACTGTTCTTCGACTGTACTTACCCCCGACGCCAGCTCCAAATGCAACTCCTACCGCGCACAAGGAATTGTTAGCAGTTGCAGCCACTTCACCAGCGCATCTGGTGCCATGTCGATTACTGTCTAGAACATCGTATCGTGGCATGGGATCTTCATCATGGTTATTGACATCGTAGCTGGCTTGTGGATCCTGGAATATTCAATTCATTTTTCCACATCAAAATTTGTTAAAAATAATTTTGTTCTAATTTTTTTTTGTAATTTAAGATGATAGAATTTTTATATTTTAGAAAGTTTATATTTTTTCAATTGTGTGTTGTTTTCTGTAGCATATTTTTAGATAGTTTAATTATTATATATATTTTGAGGGAAGTTGATAAAAAGAAAATTTTTATTGAAAATTCATTAAAAATTATCGACTTAGATTAACAATAAATCGTATATTGAATTATAATATTTTCAAATTTTAATTTTTAAATTCTAGAAGCCTAGGCTTTTAAATATCATTTTAATATAATATTTTTATCTTAATAATATTTTCATTTTAAACTTTTTATTTTTCTTGTCTTCGATCTTGATATTTTCAAGACATTTCCTACTTTTCCTACTTTTATAATTCGAATCGTAAGACATTGTTATATATATATCATTCGATAAGATGTTTAATTAATATGGAATGAACTACTTTTGTAATTACTGAATACAACTTGGCTACAGTTTTACGAACTTTCCAGTGAATATCGATTTCCTACTAGTTCCAATGTAATTGCTTTTTCCTTCGGGCAGTTTGAGGATTGTTTTAAAGTTCGATGCCACGGTTCTCGACTCCTTTCATACAATATTTTTTTCCAATCGATTGAATAAATTCTTCTCCCGAAGTTATGAAATGACATTAATTTTTTACATCTATGCGAGCAAATAAATCATTTTTAAAATCAAATATAATAGAAGTACGTATTCAACTATTTCAGAAAAAAATCAAAAAGAAAAAAAATCTGGAAAATTCGGATATTTTCTATTCAGTTTCAAATAATATTCAGAAATGAATTATAAGAGCAGATTTTATTAGATTTGAAAAGCTCCTAAACATTGTGAAGTTTTGAAATTGATTCTCAAATTGTTCTTACAGAATGATTGCCAACATTGTCATAAATACCATTTATATCAAAATTCACGAATTCTAATGAAGGCATCTTAGGAATATAGGAATTTAAAATATAACTTCTTTTTCTTTAATAATTCAAAAAAATTATTGCACGCGAAAGATTAATTTTCTACAATTTAAAAAAAAAATAATAAATATCTTAATTAATTTCTGACGAAACAATTGCTAAAATCTTATCTAATCTTTCTTTAATTATTCAGAATTAAAATAGTAATATATAATAAAATTGAAAAATAAACTTTTGAATAATAAAAACTATATGTAATAAATTGTACAAATTACAATAAAAATAAAGTAAAAGTGATTGAATAAATTAAAATTAGAAGAAGATTGAAAGAAATCTACAAAAATGAATAAATTCGACTTTCTTATATTATCATAAATTTTAAACAATTATAAAACAAAACAATATCAAACATTAAAAATCATAAACACAATTCTAGCATTATTAAATATACGTACACAATTCCAAACTTAATATTCGATATAACAGAAAAATTTCAGCATCATTGACCAAATATATCTTTTTTGGGCCAATATCGACTATCGTATACCCGGTCTGATTATAGAGAGCCGTATCTACTGTGATATTGTGAAACTCGGTGTACATTTGTTCGCGGTTGCCTTATTAACTCCGTCCATTCACCAGTAAACATACGCGTTTCTCTGGTGCGGTTCGAGTCTAGTGTTTGACTCTGCTCGGTCGGTTTCCAGTTTCAGTCGGTAACTTCGACAATTTCGGTGCGGAACTCGGATTTCTTAAATTCTTCCAATCCCGTTCTTTGCGACTATTTCTCGCTTTATAGGGGACCATTGTTCCCTCAACGTCGTTAATCGTGGCCTCACGCATTCCTTTGCAATAATTTCACGTAGGGAAACGTTTCACGATGCAGCTAGGCGGAATTAGACGTTTTGGTATGTCGAGAGTTTCAACGTTTTTGGCAACGTTCCTAGATTCGTCTGTCTTCCGCTTTTGCAGAGTTGGATTTACCCTGTATTTGCCTCAATATCGATCTTTGCGTAAAATGGGACGAGTTCTGATAAATTGAAGATCTTGCAGAGGATATTTATGATATCTTTTGAAAAATTAGAAAGAAATACTTGCAAAATTATTGCTTTTTGTTTTGTTACTGAGAATAATTATTGAAAAAATAGATTTTCATATAATAATTTTAATAGTTATATAATTGATAAATCAGTATTTCAATTTTTAATGGATTTTTCAAATTTGCCTTTGATTTATATTAAAAAAAAAAAAAGAAAAGATTATTACTTGTTGAATTGTTAAAATAAAATAAATAATAAACCGCGTAATTTATTAATTTATTTTTTAAAAATATCATTTTCTGTTAGATGCAAGAGAGAGACAAATCTCGATCTATTTTTTACTTCGTATTTTCTTCTGTAAATTTATTTTACGAATAAATTTAATTACAACGAGTATAATAAAAGACTGACTTTTCAATTTATTTTCTACTGAAAAGTCCATAAATCTGTTAAATCCAAAGATTTAGTATTAATTGATTTAAAAGGATAAACAATAAGGCTTACGTAGTTCTTATAAAGATCCGGATGATTCTTCTCCAATCCGTCATCAAGAATCGTGACCACGACTCCACGTCCCGTAATTCCTTCAGCCCAAGCTTCTTGCACGTTCATATCTAACCCCTTTCCCCTGTTCTGAAACCAATGATCAATTTTAAAGATTCGTAAAAAATAAACAGACATTTTACATTAAAAAAAAAAAAAACGTTTCAGCAAATTTACACAATATTACAGGATTTTATGCAAGATCGGATAAAAATTAAAAGCCAACTAACCAAGTACCACATCTGAGGCCACATCTCGTCGTTGAGAACGGTTCTCAG